CCTGGAGTGCTTCGTGGTCCAAAAGGCACCGGGATTCACGTATTGCCCGAATTTTGCTCTCCACCAAACTGTCCACCAACGTCATCTCCTCCTTGACCGAGATCGCTCAAATCCATCCCGTCCAACGCGGTGCTGCCGAATTCCTCCATGCCACTGCCTCCAAAGTTCGGCGGTTCGATATTAAACGGTAACAGCCACGCCGAGGAGCTTGTGTCCAGCCCATTAGTCCCTCCGCCGGCGAAAGGATCATTGAATCCATATGTTGTCAAATCGAGTTGATCCCAGGGATTTGTGCTCGCATAGTTCCCTACAGAGGGCGAGTTGAGATTGTTGAGGGCCGAGGAAGTGGTTGGGTTGCCGCCAGTGCTGCTGGTGCCTGTAGGGTCCATCCCAGCGTATGCGGCGCCAAACACCATTTGTCTATCGATAGCCGGCAAGGTGGATATGAAATGGAGGCTGTTGTAGTGCGGCGATGTTGGGGAACCACCATAGGTGTAAGGGTCTGGGAATTGGGCGTTCTGGTACAGTGACGGAGATGTTATATCGAAGCTCGCGAGATCAAATGGTTGATTGACGTTGAGGTTCAAGCTGAGATCAGCGCTCGTGGCTGGAAGATTCTGTCCAACTGATTGTTGGGACATGGATTGGCGTCTTTGCGGGTCTTGCCCAGCACTCGACTGACCAGCTCCAGCAGCAGAACTCGACGTGTTGTTGCTCTTGCCCTTTTCTCCCTTCTCTTCTTTTTCCGCCTTCTTGTTCTCAGCGACACTTTTCCCTCTCCTTCTCGGGATCTTCTTTCCCCGTCCGGCCAAGCCACCACTTCCATCATCAGCCTTGGAAGGCGGACTCAGACTCGCAAAAAACTCTTCCACGGACTGTAGGTCACTTCTCTGAGACATGACTGCCTCGGCGCCGCCTTGGGCGTGTTCGGTGCGATACTCCAAATGAGACTTCTCCCACTCACTTTCGGAGACCCCGTGAGGGTATTTATCAAACCAATCGCCATATTGAAACATGGTTTTGGATTTGTCTTGTTCTGATTTCGGTCTGTTCGGATCTGCTGGAGTTTCAGAGCGAGAGGGTGGGTTGGTATTGGACGTTAGCGCCGCGGTGGCATCCAGTTCCATGGGCGTCTGCGTTCCGCTGCCTCCTGTGGCAGAGGAATGTCTACGCAAGAAGCTCATCCCAGAACCGGGTATTCCATTTGATCCCGGTCGACCATGGGCGTGGCGAAGTGTGGCGTCAGCAAAGGCGCGATAGATATCCTTAACCGACTCAGCCATATAATGAAACATACCCCAATACCGCTTCATCCTGGTGAGGTACTTATAGTTGTGCCGTAAATTCTCCTTGCTCTGCTGCTCGAGAGCAGAGTTCTTGGAAAATATCCCCCAGACATGTACTGTTGCGGCAGCATAGGCACAATAGCCCGCGAAGGGAACGGTTAAGGTATGACCTGTCGAATCGGCGATGAGTTTGCTGATGAGCGAGGCGGACTCGAGGACGATATTGGCGGATGCTGTGAGGAAGGCTTTAGGCATACCTTGTTGGGTGTAGTAATGGTGATGGGGTCTGTGGCTGGGTTGTGTAGGTATAGCAAAGCGGTGCAGAAAGAGGGAAGTTTGCGCCAGGACGATATGGAGAAAGAGATACTGATTTGCCAAACGTTCAGAGATATGGGTGGCAAAGTTTTCCGGTGTGTATGTTATGTCGTCCGGAAGCGAGGCCTTTAATTGGGATATCTGGCGTTGTAGGGTGGCAAACTGGGATAAAGGATCCCATATCGGGTGTGGATCCTTCTCCTTGCCTCCTAGATTGAGATATTTGACGATGCGTTTCCAGAGGACGACGGCACGAACAATGTAAGCAGCGACTCCCATATTTGCTTTTGCCTCTGCAGTGACATCCCCTGCATTGTTGTCGAGCGACGATTTACTGTTGGACATTGGCACATTTCCATACAAATCTTCCGTAGATCCGGGTACCTCCATCTGGAAATGCGATTCTTTGATCGGCAACTGAATTTGGTAATAGTCTTCATTGAGAAAGGAAGGGCGCTCGGTGCCGGACGAGTTGAAGGTGTCCATCAGGTAACAGGCCCACATTGTTCGACGGCGAATCTCTCGATCTGTAAAAGAGAGTTCAGGTGGTTTGGGCCCTTTCTTGTTCTCATTTGAGTTGGCAATCTGGTTTCGACCCAGGGGATCGTGGTCGAGTTCGCGATGCAATTGTAAAGCATAGCCCATTCGCATTGCTTGGCCACCAAACGACCACGACAGCCCACCCTCACAGGTTCCAAAGTAGTGTAGACCCAACATAAGCATAGCTGTGAGAATGGTGATATTGGGCTCGTAGTGACGCTTCTCTACAATGCGCCTAGCGGGAGTTGCCCATTGCTCACCACGGAGAAACGCCGGCTCAGTGGAAACTTGCGGGTGTGTTGAGAAACGTGCAGAGATCGCACATACAGCCAAGATGAGAACTGGTGGGATCGTGCCAGCCTTCAGTTTTCGCATGAAGCTGGGCTTGTGCAAAAGGAGGTAAGATTGACCATAAACACAGTCGAAAAAAACTTCGGCAAGATGTTCTTGGATGTGTTGCGGTGGGAGAGACTCGGAGCCCTCAATAAAGAGCTTGTTCTCGCCGTCGCGCTGTTTACGGAGGCCAGCCGTCGGATCGAGCAAAGTAGTTTTTTCCCGGGAACTTCTCCAGTCATTGAGCTCTTGTGTGAACGCCTCGTCGGCGGAGCGTTTCTTAGGTTGGTCTTTCTCCTTTTTCAGTGCCTGGCCCGGCAGAGGTGGCCGAACCGAGCCACGGCCAGTGGCGCCCAAATCGGGAAGTTCGTCCTTTGGAATGACTCGGATTACCCGGTCTTCCATTCTTTTCAGGCGCTTGTCCAGCATGGCCATATAATCCGTTCGAGGTGCAGCTTTTCTGGTCGTAACTTTATAGACGCAAGGTATGCGAGCACGTAGACAATGCTTGCAAGCCGGCTTCTCACCGGAACATCGAATCTTCTTTCGGCGGCAAGCAATACAAGCGAGAGGGAGGCGCTTCCTCTCTTTGCCTGCTTTTGTCTTGAGCTCGCTCCATGCTGGCGGCTTTTCCTCGTCGCCTTGCACCTTTTTGTTTTCTTGTTCATTGGTACTCGGTGCCTTTCTCGGTGATGAGTCTGCATTACTCGGCGCCTGCTTGCTAGTCCCGGGAGCCCACTGACTCAAAGCAGCAGCGCCAAAAAGATCATGATCGAAGGCGGAGTCAATACTTGCGAGAGAGGCGCGATGTTGAGGGCTAGGAATTTTGCTTGAGGAATAACCCACTATTGAGCCCCGACCTGGAAAGCCTTGACCGTGGCTCAAACGGATATCTGGCGGGGCATCAATACCACTGTTGCTGCTACCATGAGGACTACCGCCAAACGGAAAATTGAAATCGATGGAACCAGGAGATGAGGTGTCGAAGGCGGATGTGTTGGACTGAGGTTGAGGGAGATTGTCGATGCGGGGGTTACGTGCATCGGACATGATATAGCCTGAACTCGAGAGCAAACTACTCCGTTTTTCCCCTCGAGGCTGGCCAGATTGCTTTGATGAGCTTGTCATAATGTAGAGGAGGTGGGGAAGAAATATATGCTGGTCAACGGCATGTCCTCGAGTCGAGATAAAAGCTTCAAGAGTACCACATTGTCAGCCTGGCGGAAGCGAAAGGAGCCGAGGTTCCAAAATAATGTGGGACCAGATAGATGTGATATCAGAGTTTCCAGGCGACTATCGACGAATCTCAGGCTATGTTGCAGGAACACATGGTACGTAGCTCAAAAGGACAAGGCTGAAGAAGGGGGTTGTTGGTAAGACAGTGAGAGTAGGTAGTTTGATGGCACGAGGTCCGACCGGGTGAGAAAATGTGGGAAAGTGAGAAGCGGGTAAGCGGTCGAATTGTGGATTGGCCTGTGGCGTCTCCCCAAGATGGGGGGAAATGCGAACCGGGGTAGTATCTTTTGTTTCTTTTAAATTGCAAAGGGGAACCCTTAACTGCTGAATCTGTACTGTGTAGATCGGGGGAGCGTAATGTCCAGATGGCAGAGGAAGGTCTAGAACCTGAAAATCTGGTAATTATGGTGACGAAGATGATGAAATAGCTGCCTTGCCACCCAGGTGAACCTTTCTCTGTTCCAGTGGTTTCTTATTCCCCAAGAACGAGAGTCATTTGGGGCGTTGCTGAGCTGGTGAGAATATGGAGAGAGGATAAGAAGGATTAGGAGGACAATGACTGGTCAAGGACGACAGTAATGCTGGGGATGAGACTGACGGCACGCGTTTCGTGTAGACGGAGAGGTCGAGCCTTCGGGGTAGATACGGAGGGATCGAGGGTCGCGACTCGAATGGAATAGGCTAAAATAACCTTTGACAGTGGGTTCCAGGTTGAAGCTCGGCGCTGGCGGCGATTGCCCGGTGCCAGGTGTTGACTCGTTTGGGAACGAAGATGGCCATCCACATACCGGGACGAAGTGTGTGGGAGAATATTTAAGAGGCGACGACGGGGCAACCAAGAGATGGGCGTTGATGGAGTAAAATGGCGCTGTCGACGGTGGATGGTTTTCCTGACGCAATGACAAGATCGACTTCCAATACCACCGAATCAAAATTGAGCTTTGAATAAAGAAATACGAGGCGACCATGACCCTGAAGCCACTTGACGCCCACTGATCGAATTCTTAATGAGCGGCAAAATGGCGATGAGGGCGACGACATCAGACCCGGAACACGACGATGATGGAGTGCACAACCAGGTTCTAAGTTAGGTCCACGTGATGTGGTTACCCACGTGACGACTTCTTCAGCCTTTGGGCTGCAGGGCCGAATCTTCCTTTCCCTTACCTCGCACCAGACGTTCTCGATGTTACCCTCCTTATAATTCCCTGTCTATAGCCCGACAGCCATGGAGAGATCGCGACTCCAGGGAAGCAACCTCTACCTTCATCACCTAACGACCACTCCCCTATGGCATCCCTCGCTGAACGCGTGGCACAGCTCGCGCTGTTGACATTCAACTCCCTGCCTCCAAAATGTAAACCACGCACCTTACCAGATGGCACTACCGAATGGACACCAATGTCGGCAGTGATTCTGGCACAAGAAGGACACGATGCGCCTCTAGCCTGTGTCTCGCTGGCGACAGGTACCAAGTGTCTGTCGGCTTCGGCCTTACCCAGATGTAAGGGTCTCGTGGTCCATGATTCGCACGCGGAGATCCTGGCATTGCGCGGATTCAATCGATGGATACTTTCGGAGGTCGAAGCAATTCTCCGTGATCCAGCTTATAGGTCGCCGTACCTGAACATCTCCCACCGAGACGACACTGGAAAGGCTTCAGGTTGCCCGTTCAGATTAAAAGACCATGTGACCATCCACTTCTTTTCCACCGAGGCGCCGTGCGGTGATGCATCGATGGAGATCTTGATGGACTCTCTTCCTTCCGGCAACACGAAGCCTTGGCCAGTTGACAGCAGTATTGCCACTTTGCTGCAAGGTCGAGGCTATTTCTCTCTGCTAGGTCATGTCCGTCGAAAACCGGCTCGGGGAGACGCCGAGCAAAGTGGTTCCAAATCCTGCACAGACAAAATTGCTATCAAACAATTCACGAGTCTCTTGTCCTTCCCAGCTGACCTTTTTGTAGAGAAGACTCCAAATGCCTACGTGAAAACTGTTGTGGTGTACGCCGACAAATACCACCCTGGAGGATATCAGCGCGCATTTGGGTCGAGAGGACGCTTGTCGCCGCTTCGGGAAGCTGGGAACTTCTTCACAGTTGCACCTTTACCTGTGGACTTCGGCCGTTTCGCCTTTGACAGACGACTGCAAAGTTCTGTCGACTCGACACAGACGAAATGCAAAACGAGCAACGTTTCGGCCATATGGGTACATGCGGCTGACATCAACAGACGGGATGTGGTTGAAGTCCTCATCAATGGCGTGAAACAGGGTTACAGGCAATGGGACGAGAGGTCGACCAAAGCCAGTATTGTCTCCAGAAAGGAGCTATGGGTCGTTGGCGCAAGGCTCAGCGGACACCTCGAAAATCTTGATATCGTCGATGACCCAAGCGGCGAGCTTGATCGGGAGAGCACTGGCTGTAACACAACGATCCGAAAGACGCTTTCCGCAACAACATATCAAGAGGCTAAATTGTCAGCACTGAGAATCCCTCACCAAATTTCTAAGGAACGTGTCACGGATACCCTGGGTAACTGGACGAAGAACACTGGCGATGGTGACTGGACCTGTGGCCTGCCTGACCACCAGATCCGATGAGTTTTAGCAAAGATTCTACGACAAATTACAATCTTGGTTGGTAGAGAAAGGCAGACAACACCTTTCCGCATAATACTGGCTTCACCTAGGGGATTAAATGGACGACTGCCACTAACCTGAGACGATCACGGAGAGGACAGTCTCCGCTCTGGCGAAAAGTGCAACCGCTTTTGTCGTGACTTTTCAGACTTGTGATCTCAAGACATATTGTCTCAACTTGTGCCGACTGCTTCCCCAACAGGCCTTAAGCAGTATCGCCTTACCGAGAGATAATCCAAGCCTCCTACGTTGCCTTTGAAATCAACCTGCAAGCGGCAGGACCGTCAGGCAAATGAAGCCCTTCCTGCAAGGATCGTTCTCTGCCTGGGCCAGGATCTAGCGGGCTGGCAAAGGGCGGAAGCTCTGCCAAATCTCAGCGTCCTAGGGCCACAAAAGCTAAGGTGGTCAGGACTGCTACCAACTCGACGACAGGTGCAGAGATCGCAGTTCCTATTACTTGTATACCTGGTTCAAGTCGCTGAAGTCGAATACCTCCATTGGCCCCAACAGGCATGGTTATGCTGTAGGGGCCGCCTGATGTTGCCACCCTCTGTGCATTGCTGAAGAACTATCACCGAAACACAAATCAGTAACCAGATTTTCGAAGAATGGAAACGTCTTTTACAAGCTTCTCAACCCAATTTTCTCTATTCGTCTTCAAAGTATCTCATCTATTTGATTCCGGTCAACCTCCGAGAATCGTCTATGGACCATTCATTTCATGTACCCTGTGACCTTGTCGGCGCTAGCCAAACATTCCTCTAACGTCTGCCAAAACTTGGTTATGTCGAGTGTCCTCGGAATTTTCACACCTTGCCCATTCATTGCCTTTGTTATCACTGTCCTTCCGATCTGCTCTCCCTCCAAGACAACATCGACATCCCATCTCTCGCCACCATTGTCATCAAAGTTGATTCTGACTGCGGCATCTGGATGGTTGCCCAACAACACCGCCACTGCGAGCGGATCGTGTAGCGGGGGTCCCTCGTTGAGCCCAAACACCTCAGCGTATTTATGGGCAAAGAACATGAGTAGTTCGTTAAACATCGTCCTCAGCCTGGTCGGGCCATTCGTCCCATTCAACAGCATACGCTGAACTTCAGGCGTTGCGTAGGCTTGATGGGTCACATCCAGGGGAATAAGAGTCGTCTTTGCTTTCAAGAGCGGGTTTTGAAAGACCGACCGTGCAGATTCCGGGTCGGCCCAAATGTTGAACTCCGCGAAAGGCGTGCGGTTTCCACTTCTAGCGTGGGTGTTGCCGTTGTTATCTTGGTAAGCTTGGCCCATCTTTGGTGTAGATCCTGATGTCAGCGCTGTTTCCGAAGAGGCGTCTAGGCCAAACAGGCCCGGTTTCACAAGCCTCAGGCGGTGTACGATATAAGGGATTCTCAGTCGTTGACAACAGCCGCCCAAGGAAAGAGGGACATACCGAGACGTGAGTGAAATCTGAGCCGATCGCTCCCCCCATTATGGAAAGGCCCGCAATGTGTTCCGCGACGTCTGGGAAAAGGGCGAAGAGCAGAGCGACGTTCGTCAATGGGCCGGTTGCAACAAGATACGGCGTGCCTCTGGGTTGAGACAGCAGTGCGCTGTGCATTTCCAGGACGGCATTGCAGTGTGTCAATGCGGAACGGGTGGGCTCGGGGAGCAGATCTGTCCCTCCCAACCCGCTTGCGCCATGGATATCAGGAGCGGTATGAACGATACGGCAGAATGGACGCGGCGAGCCTGGGAAAACGTGGACTTCAGGTTTCCCAATCGCTTCTAGTACACTCAGGGCATTGTATGTACATTTTGATAGAGGCGCATTGCCGTGCACGGTGCTAACCCCAAGGAGGTTGAGGGATGGGTGATAAGCCGCAAGGAGGAGAGCACAGGCATCCTGATGAGCAGCAGAACCCATGAGTTTCGAGGCATTTCACATGAAGAGGAATGGATCAAGATAACTCACGTCATGACCTGTGCGAGGCCATGAGTCAAAGGGCGTTTAGCTGAGGGGTGTGTTCACCTACCGGGATCACAGTCGAGCCAGACGGGCACTCTGCAGAAAGAAGCCATCTCCTCACCCATCCTAAGACGTAAGACAAGAGATCAATCGTCTAAAAGTGATTGCCTTGACCGGACCTGCGGCGCACATTTGACCTCGCTGGCACCCCAAATTGATATTGGGCTGAAAGAGGAAGGTCTCCCGATATTTTCCCGCATCGTCCCTCCAATCTGTCTCCCACTTTTACTCGTCCACCTCCTTCTCGTTCGCAGCCTTGACAATTCCCCATCCGCCAATCATACGTTGACACATCCTCTCGACACCCCTTCAGTCATCTAAACCGGTGAGCGAACCTCGACCGGCCCCTGCATTGCCAGCGTGGCTCGCGGGAACATCACTGAGCAGTGGACTACAAAGACCTGCGCAATGCTCCTCCACACCATGGTTCTGACATGACCACCTCAAGTTCTTCTCCTCCAAGACTGCCCTTCCCAACCGTAGCGACGAAGGCCTCCTCCACCGCTCAGTCTTCTCAGCTGACCGTTGCGGCTGAAAGCAAGGCCTCCCCGGGTCCTCGACCTGCCTCTCGACCTCAACCCATCGCCAGAGCCCGTCAGGATGCTGCGGCCCCGGACCCTACCTCGGAGAGAGCGACTCTGTCCCTGATCAGACGGACTTTGGTGGCAGATGGGAGTCATGGAGCAGATCGGAAGGTGTCACCGGCGCCAATTGAAGGGGTCTTACCGCCACTTACCAGTTCCAACGAGGTAGATGTGCAGCTGTATGCAGTCGTTGCCATAATCATCAAGGACTTTGTCAACTCGTGGTACTCCAAGATCACGCCAGACCGCACATTTGTGGATGAGGTCATTCAGATTATTGCCCATTGCAGTCGCGCACTGGAGCAGAGGATACGGCAGGTGGATGTCACGGAGTTGATACTGGACGAGTTACCTGTGTTGGTTGAGAGACACATTGCTGGTGAGTAGAAGGGCATGAAAAGTCAAGTTACGTCGTCTCGATATTGACCATATCCCTCTGTCAGCCTACAGGACGGCCACTACTGCTCAAGCTGCTCTGCAATACGGTGAAAATCCCCGACGAATCTATCACGCCCTGAACCCACATCCAGCCCTCGACCCTTCTCTCCCACCGGAGCAACAACAAGCCTACGAGTCTGCCTACCGACAGCTGCTCGTTCAAGGGGCACTGGCGGTTCTCCTACCAACCGAAGACCTGGCAAATGCTTGTCTCAGAACATTGGTGAGCGATATCATTTCCGACCTCATCCTCGGACAGGCAGTGGCGCAGAAACTTTGTGAGCCGTGGTTCCTGCACGGGACTGTCTCAAAAGTGGTGGAGATAGTGACATCGCCTCCTACACTTGCGTCTCGTGCCAATGCCGTCGATGATCAGGAAATCCTTCAGCCAGACGGCCGCCAAAGCCGGCTGGAACAGTTTGGCCTATTAAGTTCCAATACTGCCACACAAGAGAGTTATTCGTCGGACCGGCACCAATCATCTGTTAGTGCGTGGTTTTGGAGACTGCTTCAGTACGCCTTCATGGCATACCAGTTGACGCGGTTCATCCTTGTCGGCCTGGCTTTTGCCCACCATCTACCCCGGAGAACCCGCCATCAGCAGCATCTTCTTGCCGGCTCCACAACGACGCCATCCAAGGAGCAGTTGTCCACCTCGTCAACACGGCAAGTATCGGGGCCCGATCATCAACCCCCCCGCGCTGTGATCAATTACAGAGTCTTCTCCTGCATCTCTAGCATGCTCGATTTGACCATCCGCGTGCCTTGGCTGGCTGGCTCATTGGGGTTCTGGCAGCACATGCTAACCACAGGGCCGGGCAGGTATGGTGCTGCCAACTCCACGCTGGACAAGTAAGTGCCACAACTCTCCTTTTTCCACCACAGACCCTCAGCCTCGCCCGTGTTTTTGAATCCATTCTTCCCTATTGCCCCATCTTGTCTCACCACGGGAATTTCGGTAACCCTCTGGTTTTTTTTTATCTTGGGACGATTGCATGAAGGTCTGGTCATATGATGGGATCAGAGTGATTGCGAGCCAATGGATCCTTGATATCAGCATGTGTGCGATACAATCCTCTTGTTCGTCATCCACCTGTTTGAATCAGGAGGGTGTGGATCGCGAGATGATACCGGTATCCAGCCAATCCCCGCTGTTACAAGTAATGACGGTCACGCTTGTGTACTGTGTGTACTGTCGTACTGCTCATTACGCGCTCTCATTGGACGGAGTTGCTCTATCACGCCTTACCGGATTCAACTGGTTTGTTTCTCCCTGGTGATGTTGGTCTGGTTGTCATGCCCCCTGGCTGCTCTCTTTTACTGCTGGTGGAGTTCGCTCGCTCATGCTCGTCGACCAACTGTACGTCAACGCCATGTCGACAAAGCTATCTTGAACGATCGACCATCGTGACGATCTTCACCAAGCGACCACCTCGGGGCAGATGACCGAAAAAAGCAAAAAGATCAGTTGTTGCAGCCAATTGCGTCCCCAGATTTCTTGGGTTTTCTTCGCTTCCCTGGCAAAATGGTGCCAATTTTCGAACAGGGAGGGCGACATGGATCGGCCCCGCCCTTCTTCCCTCATGTCTCCGTCGACTTGCCCTTCCTGATACCTGCAATTATGCTACCAGCCAGACGAACCCCCAATCTCGACCAATTGCTACCGATGCAACTTCTTAAATCGCTAGTCTCGACTCTGAATCAGCAGACGGGCCCCCGAAGCAGATGTTCTCGACTTGACCAAGGCAAAATCTCACCAGAAAGAACCATTTTTGAAGTCGCTTACCAATGAAACGCCTCCCACCTCTGGCATTTTGGAAAAGGTGTCTTTTTGCGCCCCCGATTGGCCTCCCCGTGGCGCTTTTCCACAATGGAATGCCTGTTCGATAAAGTCCGGCCTCCCACTTTCTTCAACGGCAGTCGTCGGCTTCCTTCGGCACGTGCCGAGGGACCATCGAGTTCATCAGGCACTGCGATAATGGTCCCTTCAAAACCATATTCTTTTTACGTCACAGCAGTGTTAGAACCCTACAGATCAGACTTGTCAGCCCATCCTCCCACGGATATCCGTTATCTGTCACTCGATTTTGTCGGGCCTACCTGCAATCATCAACGGTTCGCATGCGTTCTTGTGTGACCCCCTCGAGCGAACCTCGACGGGAAACTAGTCTGCGGTCTCCAGCTCCCAGAGACCCTTAGACTTACCGACTTCGGCTTGGGCATCCTTTTTGCAGTATTCTGCACCCAGCAACTCCACCCCAACCTAATTTTCTTTGCAAGTGGCGCTTCGAGACTCGAAATCACTCGCTGGTCAGCTTTGGACGGTGGAAACTTCGTACCACACCCTGAGTCCTGCATCATTTGGGCTGGAAGACTTGACGACCCTTGATCCTAGCTTCCTGGTCATTCGAAGCTGTTGCAAACTGCCTGCAGAAACACTAGTCTCTGCTCACAAGGTTGCGCACCGCTTCAAGCCCTTTTTTGCGACTTGCCGTGAGCTAGAACTGCGCGTGGACGCATTGAGTTCCTTCGCCCCAAGGCAGTTACCATGCTCTCCGTGGGCCTGGATCATCATGTATTTTGGCGCTTGATTTGCGCAGACAAGCACGCCAACGCCAGTCCTGTGAACACATGCTCGCAACATGCGATCCACGGGCTCTAGGCGCGGTTTTCGGCGCCCGCCGGTGCACCTCCTGAGACCTTCCGCCTTGTGCTACCCAGGGTCGCGTAACGACGTCGAGGTCTGGGTCACGTGGGTCACTTTGGATCATCTTGGAAGTGTTTGGGTATCAAGTGATGGGCGGTGATGGGCAGCGATGAGGCATATTGGGCAGCAGTGAGGTGGTGATAGTGGTGCTTTGAGTTCGTGAGATCCACAGTGTCGATCTCCCGCAAATCTCGCCTCAGTGAAGCGCGAAAGTGCAACAGAACGGTTGAGCAAAACACCGAGCCACAAGGTTGAACTGGCGACGAGAACAGTCCTTCGACAGACCTGATTGAATGAGCGAAAGCGCATGTTGACCTGCTCTACAACTCGCAATGTTGCCCTTTGTCTGCATTTCCAGTTGAAACTGATAACCTTGGATGAGCGGGCTTTACTGACAACTTGATATTATCTGGACAGGTTTCTGTATCACACAATATCCACGCGCCTCTTCTCGCCAGCACTAATACCACCTCTGTTGCTGCAGATTCGAACCCTTATATTTCCCAACAACACTCTCGGCCCTCCTCCCCCGCCTCCTCCATCTGTGGAAGAAGCACGCAAGATCCGGTCAAAGGCCGCCACTGATATTCTTTCTCTGATCCCTAAACCTGTGGGCAAGACATTCTTTGCTGTTCAAAACGTCGGGACTGCTGAAGATGAGGAGATGGAAATGCGGATAGAGGTTGAGGAGAGGCTGTTGGGATGGGTAGACGATGCAGAGATGAACAAGTACCTCATCTATGCTATTTTGGAGCACGTTCTGCTCAAGCTTGTGCCAGAAATGATAGACAAAACGCCGTCTGAACTTCTGGCCGAGAGAGGAGTGGATTTAGTTGCGTCGGGAGAGGTTGACAAGGTGGCGGGGTGGACTAATGGGGCCTGAGGTTGGAACACAGGGAGGATAGGGGAGGTCCAGTTCCTGGACGAAAGAAAATGTCTCGAATCTGCACAATGTGTACAGGTATGAGGACTTGCAAATCTTACTGTTGTTCTTGCCTCTGGACTGAAGACAATTTAACCTCCTTTCCTAGTGTTTGCTGAGTCGAGATTGTAGAACTAAACGAGCTGACCTTACCTCGTACTCGACTCTGGGACGCAGGCCATGTCCAGGGATCCCTTCCCCCTCCCCATCCATCGGCACTCTTGTTCTCTGCTTCTTTACCTCACATTTGCACGATTCCGGCATCCCAGGTCCTAAGGAGGGACGCAGGCAGTGTCTCTTTACATGCTGTCGTCCCGAGCCGAACCTATTCATCAAAAGGCGGCCCCCCATGGTCGAAACTTCTGACGTCCAGGACCGCCTATCTGCGGGCAATGTGAGATTGGTCGAGCTCCT